ATGTGTATTCAATGGGTGTGTTAATGTGGCAAGCTTGCTCAAAAGGTGCAGTTCCGAATATGTATCACACAAATGATGTTGGTATTCACCGACGAAAACTGAATGATGGAGAATTATCAAAACCCAAGGAATGTGATAGTCAACTATGGAGCGTTATAGAGGGTTGTTGTTATAAGGAACCGAGTTTACGATTCAATTTTGAACAATTGAAGAGTCAGCTTTTGAAAATTGATTTTACGTAAGTGATTTAATTACCCATTAGGCAAACTTTCAACGAAAGAAAATGCTGAGAATGTATAAGATAATGTACGAAAAAGAACTGTAGTCATAACTCATTTAAAAAAAAACGATCGAAATTGAGGAATTTCAACGTTTGTTTTAAATGTTTCAATGAGAGGTTCAAATTGAATTAACCATTACGAGATTTCACTTGGAATAGAGTTACTAGTGTAACATTAACATATTTTATAGCGTTAGATTTTTAAAGTGAAATGGAACATGCAAAAGAGAAAATAAATTAGATCGAATTCACTAAATCTCATTTATGACATTATGCAAAATAGTATCTTTAATTTATTTAGTATTATCAATCGTATACGTTGTCATCACTGTGATAATGAGTTTCCAGAGAATGAAATAAACAGTCATCAGGTATAAATAATCTTATTGAGATCATTATTATCTACGTTTTGTTTTGAAGAAATCATGTTTACCGAAGCTTATTCCATCGGATGGGTACAAAAAAAAAACTTTTAAATGATTATCGTAGTAATTTCTTTTAATTTTCTCAAGAAAACGTGTTCATTTTACTCGATGTAATTATTGTGGTGAACGATGTCTAGGCAGTCAGTTAGAAGAACATCAGGTATGAACAGCATTGTCCGCTTTTTTAAACCGATCTTTTGTTTTGTAGGAAACATGCATATTAAAACATCAGTATGTCAAATATTTTTAGCTTATGAACACTTTTTTTTTCACGTATTTTTTTTCAACGCAGACCTGTTCTTGTTGCTCGTTGTATATATTGTGGCGAAGAATATCAAAAAATTGAAATAGTAGATCATCAGGTAGAGATAACACTATTTGATATATCAGCATACATTTCTTTTGAAGGAATCTTGTTCAATGAGGGCTACTCCTGATCTCAATATCGAGTATGTCAACAATTATTTTTCACAGATTAATCGTTGATGGTTTCTTTTTTATAAAGACGTTTTCGGTCTACTCGTTGTCGTTATTGCAATAAAGAATGTTTGAAAACTGAAATAAAAGATCATTCGGTATGAATAAAAACAATTACTTTTCTTATTAAATATTGTTTTTTCAAGAAATCCTGTACATCAAGACCTCAAACTCCTTTACCACAGCCTCTTGAGTATGCAAAGAGTTGTCTATTAAATACTGTCATTAGATTCAAAGTTATTTTTCAATATAGACCTGTTCTACCGAATGATTGGAGGAATAATCATCGTCAACATCCAGTGACTCATATAGAAAACCATAAGGTATGCAAATGAGATGATTGGTTTCATTGACTTATATTTTATGTTAAAGAGACAAAGTTTACCACAATCGGAATCTAATACCGCACAGTTTCCAAAGTATGTATACAGTTAATTTCTAATGATTATTATGACATTTTGTACATTACTTCATACAGAACTGTCCCTCATAGCGAATGCAAATATTGCTATCGTAAACATCCATCAATTGACATTAAAAATCATGAAGTATATAGACAAAAGCATTTGTTTCACTGATTTTTGTTGTCTTTTTCTTCCAAGCTTACATGTTCATTGAGACCTATGTCTGGTATCTCACCATCAAGTTCAATGTATGCAGAGAATTATTTCTTTAAAATCTCTTATTATAATTATATGTTTATCAAAATATTTCTGTTGTAGGTCTTGTATGGATCGATTAAGTTCTTGGTTGTGTCGTTGCTGTGCAACAGACTAGTTGTCTGAAGATAATTGTCGACATATACCTCATAAAAAAAAAAACGTTTACTGATGATCAGACACCCAAGCAGACAAGAATTTGGAAAAACGCGTTTAAACCCTACAATCGGGAACTGCGATTGTGACTCACTCACGCTAAAAAAATAACGCCGTTTTTTGCATGTTTCGTGTTTTTTTGCGCTTAATTTTCACTTTTTGGCCGTGAAAACGGCGGAAACCCACTTTTTGAGCGCTAAAACGCTTGATTTTTAAGTTCCAGAAAACTTCAGAAGTAAAAGCACGTTTTAACGCTCAAAAAGTGGGGGTTTCGCCGTTTTCACGGCCAAAAAGTGAAAATTAAGTGCAAAAAAATGCGAAACACAAAAAACGGCGTTATTTTTTTGAGCGTGAGTGGATCACAATCGCGGTTCCCAATTGTAGGATTTAAACGCGTTTTTCCAAATTCTTGTCTGCTTGGGCACTTGCTTTGAGCTTTTGAGAGGATTCCATCGAAATCAGTCAAGTGAATTTTATTTGGTTGAATGTACACAATTTTGTCTTAAATAAATTTCTCTTTACATCATTGTTATTTCTGAATTTTTTTCAAGAAACTGATATTCAAGTCTTGTTTTTGCTTGAAACGATTGTTTTTGTATTTAAAAGCTGGAAAACATTATAGAAAGGAAAATATATTTTAAGTATTTTGAGTACAATTTTTGAAAAGGAAAGTATCATGCTGTGAGTAGGGGTGGGAAGTTACCGTTACGTTACCAAGTAGCTAGTAACTCACAAGTTACTAGTTATCGAGTAACTAGTAACGTCGGAGTCACCAGTTACCAGGTAACTAGTAACTTCGGAGTTACTAGTTACTTTTGGTAGGTAACTTGTCTAAGAAGTGGAGATATCGCTTCCTAATGAGTGAATACCATCATTACAGTACTTATTCAGCTCACGAGTTACCGAGTAACTAGTAACGCACATAGGAGTTACTAGTTACCAAGTAACTCGTAATTTAATTGAGTGATGAATAGATGATATTCAGTCATTAGGAAGCGATATCTCGACTTTTTAGACAAGTTACCTACCAAAAGTAACTAGTAACTTCGAAGTTACTAGTTACCGGGTAACTAGTAACTTCGAAGTTACTAGTTACTCGGTAACTAGTAACTCAAAAGTTACTAGTTACTCGGTAACTAGTAACTCAAAAGTTACTAGTTACCCGGTAACGTAACTCCCGGGTAACGGTAACTTCCCACCCCTAGCTGTGAGTTATAGTAAACATTCTCAGGTGAATTCAAGACTCTCTTTTCTGTCTTTGATTATTTTTCCAAATATATTATGTAATTGATTCGTATTTCAACTCATTGAATCACCTGTTGATCGATTCAAACCGTAACGGACACTTTAAAGTCACCAGTGAAAGTAACTGATCTTGTCTAAACAAATATTTCAACATTCATCTCGTGGAATAATCAATACGTAATAATATTTATGAAAACCATTTTTAATACAATATCTTAGCACACAAATTTAAATTGTTCGTACCTAAAGGGTTAATAGACACATGATTTTGATTGTTCTTCCGTATAGTTTGACTTGAAATTATGTAAACATTAACTTCTCGAGATTTGTTAGATCAACGAATGATTTTTAACAATCTTTGTCAAATAAAATTTTCCGATAACAATTAAACATATTTTTGAGTAGTAAGCATCTGTAAGAAATTTATATAATAGAAAATAAAGTGAAATTAAAAACATCAATATTAATCAAATGGGTTTACCAGGAAGATGTTTTCTGTGAATTGTATATTTATCAATTAAGAAATTAACTGCATATCCTCTAGTGATATGGAGTGTAGATGTAAGGGCCAATGTTAGTGGGAATATTAGTATTACAGAAGAGAATACCAACAGCCACACTTATCTGGTGCTCTGATGCTTTTCTTTTATTTTTGCCAAGAATTCTTCTATTATCTAGTACATGTGTGTGAGAATTTTATTCTAACATGTCAAACCAAAAATGAAAATAAGTATAAAGAAAACTACTAATGATCTTGTTCGCTCATAACTTTGTATCCCAGATATGTCAAACTGATTTTTTTAGGCAATTCTTTGTAAACATGACGTTATCGAGTTTTCTTTGATTTTTATGAAAATAATAATATGAATGATCTTAATGTGTCGAATATTACATGTGTCATATAATTTTAGCTTTTCATTATCTTTTTCTTCACAGAATACTAAACTTCATCTATTACCAAAACTAGTTAAATAATGATTCAACTGCGTTGTTGCATCAGATTTCAAGCAGTGAAGTTGGCTTGTTCATTTGTTACTAGCGTGACCAGAAATTTTATCTTTACAAGTTGCAACAGAACATTGGCAAATCTTTTATAAACTGTCCAAGTGAATCGTTTTTCAAACTTCAAGTCAGAAAATTTTTTAAACTATTTTTCTTCTCCTCTCCCCCAGTCGAATCAAATACACATGCGAATAATCTGTCAAAAAAACAATAAACACTAGTTTATTATGACCCACAAAATCAGATCCCGATAGAAAAGACTATTCAGCAAAATTATTAGGAACACTGTTTTTACATCGAATCTTTTCGTGGAAATTTTTTAAATATTGTTATTCTAATAAATATATATTAATGTTCGTCCACGATAATTATATGAGTTTTCCGTTGCTGTGGTTGTAATGTTTCTTTACTTTGCCTTCATGTGCTGCCTGTTGTTCGACACCTCTACCAAGATCGACAACAATCTGTTGAAAGAGATAAGACCATGCTTGTTTATGACGTTTTGTAAACTTTTCGCCTAACATCGAGCTTAATACACTTTCCATCGTCAATTTGGCTGCCTACTCGATATGAAATTGTTAAAAAAAAAACTAATTGGTATCAATTGGCTTAGAGTACCTGAAAATCTGATGGTTTTACATCGTAGATAAAATGACTTTTGCCAAGATTTTCAAGAATTTTTCGTCTTTTGTCATAATCTTCGATGTTGTTGATGATTTCATTCAAAGTATACATAATTTTTGCTGCATGATAACGTATTTGTGCATTACTTCGAATTTCATGCTCCATGTCAAGATTAGCTGCGAAGATCCAAAGCTTTCTCAACTCGGGATAGGTGTGAAAAAGACTAGAAAATATCAATAAAGTTTTAATAATACTTTTCAAAACATCATTGAACATACCGAATCATAAAACTGATCCCGACTTCTTCGTAGTAGTCGTTACAAACATAAGTCCAAATTTCTTGGACAAGACGATGACTTTGATCTGCCATATTTTCATTTGATGCGAAGCTTACTCGTGATGGATTGCAGCCCATATCCGATCAATGTTCAGTGAGATGTAGACTGTAGTGACATGTTGCATACTATTATTAAAAAAGACAGTCAACGCTAGAAATATTTTTTGATATGCTTGAATAAAATATAAAAATACGCATAAAAACATCAAGTATTCGCTCATGCAAAAGACTAAAGATAGTAATTATATCTTTTTTTTGTCGATTGCCGACATTGACAAAAACGATTCGACTAGTCAGCTTTAAACTATATAGCGAGAGAATGAATGAATATGTGCTGCCTGTTAGGAAAGAAAAAGTAGTCACATAAGTTAATTCGAAAAGAAAAGCATAAATAGAAAATATGTTATGTTACTAGCGAATACTATAGCTTCACTATTTGCTTTTAAAACAAAAGGCTATACTAGTTATGTCAGTACCGTATTCTTTTGGTAAATTAAACACCAATTTCATTGCACTTCTATTATCACATATTACATTCTGAAAATGAGAAAAACGTCTGATGAAACCAAGAAGATCGACCAAATATTTCATATTCGATTCGATGATGGAATCCATCGAACCCGACAACTAAAAGTCATCAGTGATGTTTTGGAATTTACATTTTATTGATAACATTGAAGTGTTGATCGTCATAGAAGCACATCAATTATTTCGAAAGAAACATTGATATTACTCGTTTTGGATGAATAATACAACACAATCTCGGATACTCAAGTGAATTTCTATCGACGAAGTGATAGTATGTTGCATGACGATATAATATGTAATTCTAGGACAGAAAATTATTGAATGGAATTGTCATAGTAAGTCATACTGATTTTTAAAATTTCTAACTCATTTATACGATCAGAAAGCTGACAGCGCACATGACGAGAGTTCAAAACATTGACTTCAGTTTTTGTAGCAGTTCCATTCAATGATTGTGCGTCATAAAAATAACATGTTGTTTTGTAAGCGTGTATGCCATGGAAGACAATACTGAACGATGATAAGAAGCACGAAGGAGAAGTGTATATTCGAGACGCGCAACATATGAAAAAACCTTCTAGAAGCGTAGTTAAAAGATTGAGATAAAAATCAAACGCAATAGATTTTTTCCTGTTTCTCTTCAAGAATCCATTTAACCTGATATCGATGACAAGTTTGACGTTGGTACAATAAATAAAAAAGAAGCATCGAAGTGGAACACTGCTAATAAAAACAAGTTGCTGCAATGTAGACGAAAGAAAGAAAAAGGGAGTAGAATACTTCTATCTAGCGGTATGGGATACTTCCTTGTTGCAGATTGAGTAGCCCAATACTTTGCCTATAACTAGTATTAGCTGTAGGTCAGCCTAACATAAAGTTCTTACGATCAACTTTTTGGACTCCCTATTAGCAATAGCTATATTTCATCTTATGAAACCGAAACTTGAATACAGTAGCTAATGGGTACGTGTTCAGCAACCTAGCCATACAACCACGATGGTAATGTAAAGAAAGCACAAGACTAAAGATAATCAAAGAAAATATGACGAAAGACAACAGTATCCATGCAAAGCAAAATGACAGAGAAAGAGATGAGCAGACGTTTGATGAATAGAATAATAAATGTTGCGAAAGGAAAGAATTTTAGATAGAAAAAGACAGCTCATGCGTTCCTCATTGTCTTGACATCAGCTCTCCGTCTGCCTGCTTAGCAACAAGCTATCAATAAGAGATAGCGTAAATCCTCAACTATAAACATAAACATTCTCAAGTATGACAAGTCCTCTCCGCTCTAGTAAGAAGAATCCAAAGAAATTGTGAATAATCGATCTGATAGAAACTCCAGATGTTAGATTAGATCAATCATTGCTGATTTTATCTATGTGTATTGTTGGTTGATGAAATACTAATTATCTTCTTTCTTTTTTGAATACAGTTGTAGATATACTTTTGTCTTGTCATTATCTTCTTAAAAAGAGTGAGAAAAGATACATCGATTTATACATTAATGACCATTCATGTGGTGCACCCGTCAATTAGATTTATCTCAAATTCATTCGATCAGCGTGATGAATCACACTGGCATGTTTATGATATTTGTGTGATTTTATTCACTCAGAGATAAATCGTGGAGTCTCAGGTAGATTTCGCACAAACTTTTGAATATTTTGCTATTCGATACAAACAATGACCCATTGTCATCCGAAAGAAAGGATCTCAAAGTGATATTGACAATCAGTTAATAAAAAGATAAATAGATTCTATTTACCATGAGATATTATTTGAATTGGATGATAGTGATGATGATGACAATCAAAATCAAATCGCAAATGAAGTGAACTTAGTCAATTAACGATATGCACGAAGGGTACTGTAGAATGCAGACAAATGATAAAAGTTTGGATAGACTCTGAAAAAACTGATAAGCATATGTGCATAAAACATCGATTTGTTTTGTCTTTGAAATTTTTTACTCAATAAATACAATTTAAAGATACAAGATAAAAAGAAAATTGTTTATTTCAAAATATCCACCACTTTCTATCGACATATGCCACGAATCTCTAACAGATGATTCACAAACGCCTGGTATCTTTTTTTCTCTCATGATAGAAGGTCTCGGCTTTTTAATGCAAATGAAAGATTACCGTTTTCTGGTGAGATAAACAACGCTACTGTGCAGTTAAAATAGTGTTGAAATAAATAGAAACAGATGTAAAGCGTACATTGTCAAATAATACGGAAAAATACGAATATGAATAGTCAGAAAACAAAGATATTGATGATGTTACAGATAAAATGATGAAGGAATACAACATCGATATTCATACGAATGTTAGCTTGAGAAGGAAAGCACACGGGTACAGTAGAACGAGAAATGACATAATTGCCCAAATGAAAGCAACAAATATCTCTCTACTTTTCAGCCAAGTTCACGCACTTGACAAAAAGTTCATATGTGGAAATTTTTGTTTTGTAAGCTAGCTCTAGACGACTTAAAAAAAGCTTACACTTCAATAAACTTTTGTAAAACGCTTTGTTTTACTAGTTACAGGCTGCTAAAAGCCGCTTAAAGAAGCTTAGAACATCGTTTGACAAGCGACATATCTTTCGATATTTCTGAGCACTTTGCAGCAATTGAACTGAAAAACGTTGAAATATTGATTTTCTTGTATTTAACCATCTCGCAGGAGTTACAGTAAAAATTACTCAGAATAATTGTGTTTTTCTCATATTCAAGTGTTGTAATACGCTGTAAACTTTAATCGCCTGTGTTGCAGATAAGAAGACCTGTAATCACAGAACAATTTGAAGCAAAGTTTCGTTGTAGAATTTTCTCGATAAATGCAAGAGCATGAAGCATGTCACTTGTTTTAACTTAATTTAACTCTAGTGCTTATTTGTCATAGAAACTTTATTGTACTTTTCACTCTCTACGTGATTACAGAGTAGTTCACGTGCTAAAGTGCCGCTATTGGCTTGTCTTTGTTTCATTGTTCAGTCGCATATCTTACTAACGGACTATGACACAAGAGAAAAAAAGTGTATCAGTTATTTAATACAATGATAGTGTACCGATTTTTTGAGAAAAAAATAAAGAAGAGTTGTCGCTTACTACTTTAAAAAAATGATGTCTGAAAAAGACTTAATTTATCGAGCTATCCATCTGTGTGTCGAAAAAGTAGTAAATAGTGATGATTATCTATTGTCACGTATAAAAGGATTTCGAGTCGCATTTTCAAGAGTTTTCCTTTGTGATCCTAATTTTAAGTTAGATTTAATCGATATGCGATGTCTTTACCACTAGTTCTCTTCTTACTTCTTTACATCACTCTCTCGATTCAGGTATTCATAGATTTTCTTTTATTTATACAGTGAAAAAGTTTAATCAAAAATAAAGAGTATAAGAGATACTATTGGGTATGGCCAGCTAACTCTGCTACCGGAGTGAAATTCCGTAACGTTTTTCGCTTATTTTGTTTTCTCGATAAATATCAGGCAGTAGCACGTGAAGAGTTGCGAGACCTCTTAAATTAAAGAGAAAAGTCTTGTACATATTTTAAGATATTTTTCGCTTTTGGAACATTTGTCGTTTCCAAGATGTAACAAAAGAATTGAACACCACTTTTGAAAAAGTAATAATTTTCAGAATTGAAAAGTAGTTATCAGTTTTTTAATTATATCTTGGAAACGACAAACGTTCCAAAAGCGAAAAATATCTTAGAATATGTACAAGACTTTTCTCTTTAATTTAAGACGTCTCGCAACTCTTTACGTGCTACTGCCTGATATTTATCGAGGAAACAAAATAAGCGAAAAACGTTACGGAATTTCACTCCGGTAGCAGAGTTAGCTGGCCATACCCTATTTTAACTATGTTCATTGGAACGTTTGCGATTAACTCAGAACAGCATCAGTCATAAAAAGAATAAACAAGTATACAAACCCAAGAAAATTTAAAAGTAAATATGACAAAACCCCTCTTACTTTCTTGCAATCTTTACTGTTAAGTGTTCTTGTATTTATATATTTTTTATGACTGATGATGCTGTTAGTTAATAGCGAAAAATCTCAATAAAAATCATTCAAATGGTGTCAATTATTCTATTGTTTTTAATTATTTCTATATATTCGTATATTCACGAACTAGTTCTTCAGTTTGCCATTTTAAATAAAAGTTGTTCTTTTTTGTTTTTAAATAGTGGCTTCGGATTATTTAACGACTGCAGTGATTTATGACATTCTTAATAAGACGATCATTCAAAGTCAACTGAGTTTTTTTTTTAATTTTAAGTAGTCACTCTCAATTACCTTAATTTCATGCCAAATCCTTATATTTCGTTCATGATTTTCTATTCGACATGTTAAATATTATTAGTATTACTATGGAGTTATTAACTAAATGATCTAATTACATTCAATATAGATTTGTATTGATAGATGCCTCGTTAGGACTCTTTTCTTATAAATGATCATTTTTCTCTTCCATGACAATCGTGTCTAATTCTCTTTTCATTCGAGAACAAAAGATTATTCAGATAAATATATTTACTAGTTTAGAATACCTATCAACGAAAAAACTTCGAAGCTGGAAATCTTTCGTTAGAATGGTAATCAAAATATCATACATAGTGATTCTTCCAGATCACCTTTGTGAGTTCGTACGTTATCAACAGTTTTCAGCTACTTCTTATCGTGACGTAGAAAACTAAGATGTTGTTTTCAAAGCAAAAGCGACATATTATTGACCATGTCGAGTTCTTAAAAATAATGTGCAGGAATTTATTATGTACATATTAAAAAGACACTAGCTTAAGTTATAACGTGGAAAGCATACTAGACTTCAATAGTTCCTCTCGGTATTTAGTAAGCAGAGCTTAGCTTTAGAGTCGAATTTAAATCGATTACTTAGTTGAAGACAATCAAATAATACATTCAGAAGACTGTTGACTCATAGGTTCGAATCTCGAGATATCCTGTACAAGCGGATTTGAGTTAATATCCACTTTTTGCCGTTCATCAAACTTCGCGAATATGTCTTCCGAACCGTCAATCAGCATTAGTCCGACAGAAAATATTAAGAACAAAACTTACTAGCCAAAAATAGTATAATATTAGAGTGAAGTATTTTTAGCCAACTAATTATCTTCAAAGCTAAAATCTAATGTCCAATGATTAAGAACTAATGGATCTTTTCAAACAGTAAGCTGTAACAGATTTTGAACTGCTTACAAAGTACATTCTTTAGGGATCGTCACTGATTGCCGTTATACTGGATCCATGTGTAGAGCATCACAAGAATAGAATAACTTTAAAAGGTTTTCACTTTCTTTCATTTTATTCAAGAACTTGGATTTTTAACGAGCTTCGTTTGGAAGAGCAACTTTCAAAAAAAATGTTTTTTTTAAAGTTTGTCTTACAATTTTTTATACATGAAGGTGCTACTTATTACATTGTTAAGGGATAATTTTTTCAAACTGCCCGTGTTTTACACAATATTTAGGGAAGATGTAAATGTTTTGAGAAACTCATTCATTGACAATGCAATGTTCAAAACTGACGAAGATTATTATATGACATAGGCTAAGTGGAACCTTCATGTATAAAAAGTTGCAGGTCAAAATTGAAAAATACGCCTTTTTTTGAATGGATGTAAAAAGAAACGAAAATTTTTGAAGTTACGCCGTTCTCGAGATCTTCTATACAGATGTGTAGTATGACGACAATAGGAGCGAATCATCTATGAATATTTTCCCGTTGAAGTTTAGCGCTTTAAAGCACTTAAATATGTAATTGTAAGCGCCTCTTGACAGCTTAAAATGTGCGCTTTTCAGCGCTTCTAATACTTATGCTCCAAGCGCTTAAAAATGTTCAATACTCAATTGCAAGAGGTTTTCAGCTGCTTAAAATGCGCACTTTTAAGTTAATCTTAGAGAGAAACATAAGCTACTTTAAACGAGCTTGTTTGTTTAAACTTTCACAAAGATGAGCAGCCGATAAAAAGTCTACAAAGAATTTGTTAATCATTTTTTGATTTATTTTCGTTTTGGCAATATACAATTACATATGTATGTTACTGAGAACTAGAAAGCACAAAGGAAAACAAAGAAAATATATTATTGCTCAGAGACTGACGATTTCCTCATTCTACATTTTGAAAGAGTTTATGTTTCGAAGAAAGATTGAAGTTACAACCAAAGCTTTTATGATATTGCTTTCTTCTTCATGTTATTCTCGCTTCCCTGTTCTCGAAAGTTAAGTGAAAGTGAACGAGAATAAAATACATGAACGTGAATTGAAACGGCATAATTTATGTTACTACGAAAAAGACAGCGACAATTCTTCGTGTCTCTCTCTCGACAAAATTTACGTGTTCGGTAAAAAGTTATGAGTGAACAAGTTTTGATGATAATGCTTTGTGGTTTTACGAGGCGTGTTTATTTAGATGTTATCGAAGTACAAATAACTCTTAGCGAGAGAAGGAAAGCATAGATGCAGAGTATAAAAAGAAATGACGTTGTTTTTAGAAAGAAAACGGCAACCACCTCATCCTACCATTTGACTAAGTTTGTGTGATACAGAAAAAATGAAGACTGAAGAAAAGTTCAAATGAAGATGCTTTACTCTTCTTAAAATTGTTTCTGTTCTGGTAGCGCCTGAAGAATGTGGATGTGGGGGAGGGAGAGAGAGAATACGATGGAATGAATAGGAAGAAAAGAAAGCGACAACTAGCTCACTCTACAATTCAGCTTAGTTAATGTGCTGAAGAAAAGTGAGCAGAGAACGAAAGTTAAATTGATACTGCTTTGCAGCTGTTCGACAGATTCTGGTTATTTCATCATCAAAACTCATAGAAACAGAAACGCAGATCAATGATTCTGGTGCCCACATCCATCAATTTCTGCTAGATTCTCACCCTAAAGCTTGGAAAAATACTAGGAAGGATGTAGCTATCATGAAAATCAGAACAAGAACTTTTTCTCTGTCCTTCTCCTTCAAGTTTGAACACTTGACAAAAAAACAATCATAAAGAAAATTTTGACGATATTCCTTTGATCTTTTCCATAATACTTCTTCTTCACATAAAGGAAATTCATATAGAAACGAATATGCAAAAAAACCGAAGCAAAACAATATAGAAAGAATTCGTGTTGATCAGAAAAGAAAAATAGAAATTCTTTTTTTTTCTCTCTCGGAGAAGTTTATGCATTGGACAAATAGTGAAGAACAAACGAAAGATAACATGTTAATTGTTTGCCCTCCCTCGAAACATGTGTATTTGAAAGTTATTGAAATTCATACTTGTGTAAGCGATAAAAAGAAAGTACGTCAGCAAATAGCTACAGAAGAAATCTTGTTATTGTGAAAAGTGAAGCGATAAATCTCTTTCTTTAGAAGAAGAAGCTGACGCTTATGTCCCAGAGAAAGAGTGGAGATCGAAAGAAACTTGTTATCATATTACTTTATGATTATACCTGAGATTTTTATTCGAAAATCATCGAACTTCAAACAAAGGTGTGCTAGAAAATTTACACAATAAATAAAAGGAGAAAATGATATTCTGTTTTTATGAAAAAGAAGATGACTATTCATTCTGTTTGTGTGGATGTTTTTTACATGCTGTAGAAAAAGTGAATATCTGTAAAAGTTTAAACCATAGTGCCACTAACACTGTGCCGCGTGTTTTGATTTTGTTCGCATCATAGTTCATATGAGAGTTAGAGGCAAAAAAAACAGAAATCCTGCTATTTACAAAAGGAAGGAAACAATGTCTATTTTGTATCTTTCTCTCTAGAACGAGATAATCGGTAGGCAATGAGCGAACAATCGAGACAGCAAGGAAAGGATGAAAAAAGCATTGTTTGGGTAGATAATTTTGATACTCGCTTCGGCTTATCGTCCTCATTTATAGCAAACAAATATGCAAAGAACGAGATCGGAGAAATTTGTCAGAGAAAATAATTTTTCTCGCAATCTATTTTGTATGAATAGGGTTGGGTGTGGGTGGGTGTGAGTGTGGGATGTGGGTGTAGGTGAATGAGTGAAGGGACCTTTCTCCATCACAGTCAAGAGTGACACAGTAGATTCACTTTAAGGTGTCCGGCGCATGACGTAGCTGTCTCATATTAATACACACATCTACAAAAGGAAAAAGGGGACTTTTGAATTTTTTCTCAACTATTTTGATGAAAAAACATTATTTTTCTGACTTATTCTTGTTTTCTGAACATAATGAAGAGATTTTAATATTGAAAAATTGGTTTTGAAATATCCAAAACCGATTAAATTCTACGCTTTCTGTTACACATTTTAGTGTTTGTTATCTAACCAAAGATGTTTCTTGTGCAACTCTATTACTTTCTCTATTGTAGCTTCTCTTGCGCCGTCCGTTGCCTCTTCATCGCATATCTCGTCTCTTTTGTGTGTTCTGTGACTGCAGATAAGCAAGCATCCAAGTAAACTTTTTTTGGCTTGACTGCTTTCATTGCGAAAAAGATTAGATATCTGCCGAAAGATTCGCTGACAATAGTCTACTGTCTGTCATGAATGAACATAAACCTAAGGCAATCTTTCGGCGTGTTGAGGATTGCGAGACCGAGGAATCGAACCATCCGCTTGCCGGATATTTTCGTTGGTGGGCACTCATTAATGGTGACATAACGTCAACAACGGGACTCACCATGGGTATCGCAGAAGCGCCGATCGAGGCTCCACGTCCGAAACGAGGTTACACGAACGATGCAGAGGAAGTGTAAGTTGTTTTTCTTTTTATTTAGAATTCTTTACGAATTTAACTATTTTTGTTCATTCAGGTACTACTTTTTAAGTGGAAAAGGAATCGTTTCCGTGGATGGCGTGGAAACAGATGTCGGACCTGGTACATCAGTATGGATACCTGCACATGCTGAACATTTTTATCACAACACGGGTACAGAGCCGTTAAAATTTTTGTATGTATTTGCACGCGATAAGTACAGTGATGTGCATTACTGCTTTCCTGGTGAAACAGAAATAGCGTAATAGAAGAAGTTTTTTTAAAATTTACTGCCTTTATACTGGATGCAGACATGTCCTAATAAAAGTAACCGAAAATACATGAAGATACGAGCAGTGTTATCATCAGTATGTCAGGATTGGCAGTACACTACTATCAAATATCTTGAGGTGAGTTAGAGCCGCCATGACCGGTTTCGTCCTTGCTGACAGGACTTATCCGATGGCTTGTAAAGAGTGTGGGGGATGTGGGTGTGGGCGCACTGTAAAAAAAAGGGTAGAATAATAAACCCTTTAAGGGTATATGAAAGGGCTTATGAAAATTTTGGCATACGGTAAAAAGGGTTTATTATTCTACCCTTTTTTTTTACAGTGCACCCACACCCTAAAGCTAATAGCTATGGGTCTTGACAGGTAATTGTTATGAACGTAAAGAAGTTTCTCTATCTCTTACTCTATTGTCTATTCACTATCTCGTGCACTACTTGAAATGATTATGAGAGATCAGAGGCATGAGCTATGAACAGATTGAGAGAGAGTTGAGGAGCTCTCGAGTATGGTAGATTTCAGCAGTATTTGCTATCGATAAAATATTGCAGCGTTTTAATCCAATCATTTTTCAAATCTAGTGGATGGTGTTGATTGAAATATAGTAAAACGTTCATATGATGGACGTTCTCAGGAATTCTCAAGTGTCTACCATATGGAAGTAAGAACTTTTCTAATAAACAAGTTATTTAAAGCAATTAGACAGGTTCTTCTGGATGATTTAGTCTGTGTGATTGGAGCTAGTACGAAACGTGATGGTGAATATTAGTGTTGTTAAATAGAAAACCCACACGTAGTAGCACAGTCAAAATTTTCTATTAATTGCAAATTAAAATGATACTTATTGAGAATGTGAGAGATAGTCTTATCAAGGTTATTTTGTATCCGATTGAAATCCATATGCAGACTTCAAATGGATCATGAATATATTTAGTAGAACCAGCCTTTACTTGTCAAAGGTCGGATACCTTGTAATCCATTGAATGCTTATAAAGAACCTGTTGAATTTAAGATTTGTCAAACTATTCACATTAACGAAAGCAAAAACAAAACGCATTCAAATATGCAAATAAAAGAACTTGACTGTGTTATATCAATCTTCAAGGACGTTTTTTTTTTATAACTCTTGGCATGCAACACATATTACTCAAATAAAACGAAGTAATTCTTTGTGAAAGGCAACGATATGTTCTCGTTTTCTGTAGTAATATGACGTATACATTCGAGTTTAGAGAGCATAAACGAGCGTCACAACTGTCTTGCTAGTGCAGGCGTGGCCTCTATTCATTGCGCTCTGAATATGAGTGGCTATAGTATGACTCAAATCGCTTTTCAAACGACTTCAATGACAACAATACTACTGCTGCCTGTCTCAAACATGTTCTTTTTCCAAGAGCAAACAGCTTCGAAATTGACTTGAATGATTCATAACTGATTGTGAAATAACGTGCACTTTTCTTTTTATCTCGACTGCACCCTCATTTGTGCATAGTGACGACTACGACGACTAAGGGTGAAAAATCATGAGTAATGTATAATTTTTCTTTCATCCAAAGCTATTTTGTCTAAATGACAAACAAACTTCGTCAGAAAGATTTCTTTGATGACAGCGAATTTTGATTATTCTTAACAGTTTAACTTGACGGTACGTTTTCAACATATTCATTTATTTGGACAAATTTAAGAAACAATATATTTTCGCCGGTAGATACGCTGTTTTCTTCGAGAGATACTGTCGCGTAAATAATAGACGTGAGTTGAATCTGAAGTCTCTATTAAAAATCTCTTTCAAAAGATGTCATTGTAGGATGTAACGTCTTATATAAATACGATCGGTATAAGACGCGACGGATAGAATCGAAAGAATCCATTATTCAGCTTTGATGATTCACATCTCACATTACTCATGACCAATCGTCTTGACTTGTCGCTGATATTTGTTTTGCATCAAACGCTATTTGTCTCGAGCAAAGCAGTGTTTCTTTCGTCAGTAAAATGCGTACGGCAACATATTTATTCTGAATTTTAGATTTTCATGACATATCAACAAGCAACTGGACGAGCTACGCGAGCCATCAAATGTGTAGTTGTTGGTGACGGTGCCGTCGGTAAGATAATCATTGTGATTAATGCAACCCAAAGTTCTTCCACTTTGTTTCATACAGGAAAGACTTGCTTATTAGCTGCTTATGCGCAAAATAAATTTTTGGGTGAATATCGCCCAACGGTAAGTTGTTTGCCAATTTCAACATGAAATTGGCAGACATTTATTGTTGCGATTCGTTTTCAGATATTTGACAATTATGCTGTCACGGTAACCATCGATCAAGAACCTTATACATTAAATTTATTTGATACAGCAGGTGAGTTATCTGGACAAATTTTGAATACAATCGACGTATTCTTATCCTTGATTCTAGGGCAAGAAGATTACGATCGTCTTCGTCTCTTGAGCTATCCTCAAACCGATATTTTCTTAGTGTGCTTTAATATCGCTTTACCTTCATCGTATGAAAATGTTCGCGCAAAGGTTTGTTTCATTTTTCGAACATGAATCTCGATCGATGTTATTCAATCATTTCATGATTCACATTATAGTGGATACCGGAAATAGCTCATCATTGTCCTCGTACTAAATTTATACTTGTTGGAACACAAACCGATCTTCGAGATGATCCGAAAACAATTGCCTCATTGAAACACTCACATGAAAAATTGATCTCCTTCAAACAAGGAGAAAAACTGGCGCGTGAACTCAAAGCAGTAACATATGTTGAGTGCAGCGCATTGACACAAGTAAATTGATTGATTGAAATTGATTTTCTTATTCACCTAAATTCATTCCACTTGTAGAGAGGTGTCAAAGAAGTTTTTGATGAAGCAATCATTGCCGCTCTTATAAAGTCAAACAAACCTGAAAAACCATCATGTTCCATCTTGTGACGAAAAAGTCGAATACGGAAAACTTAATCAGTCGACAAACAAAGAACTCATTTAAATATTTTTGTTTTTTTCAGGTTCAATGTCTTTGAATACTTTTAGATGTGTATAATATAATCAACAGAATATTTTAGAAATGCTTCAGTTAAATTTGAAATTATAGATTGTTTGCATATCAAATGTTGTGAATTGGCCAAAAAAGAAAGAATCTTTTCCTTTTCTCGAGAGTCCTATGGATTCTATGTGGATCCCGTTTTAGCATTTTCTTGCCCATTCAAAAAATAACTAAACGAGGTACTTTTATCACAAAAAGTGCTGGAAGATGTTTAAAAAAGCAACTTTTGCACCTGAAAAAAAGTGCAAAAAGTTTTGTCATAATATTTTTGTTATGGTATTCGCAAAAGACGTGAAGACTCCTGAACATGCCACATGAGAAACCTATACTGCCAATAAATCGAGCTCGTCAACCTGACTCTAAAATCATCCATGCAATAAATATGAATCTTGTTGTTACATAAGTGGTTTGGGTTTGACCAGCATCATCAAACTGTTAGCTGCAAAAAGTATGACATGAAATCAATTTGTGGTCTTCGAGAAAGCTCACTTTTAGTTTTTAAAAATTTCATCCACTAACATTCTGCCCTGAAAAATGAAAAAGAAACAGGTTTTCTACTTAGCATAGTGTTGGCAACTCATGACAAATGTTCAACTAAACTAAACTCAGATGACATTGTTTGATTGAGAAATGAATACTGTATAAAACTATATTTAAATAAAAAAGATTTTCCTCCTTGGTTAATCAGAAATAACTGAGAAAAACTAACGAAAGACACGGAAAAACCAGTGAGACACCCACCCTCGACAACTATTGAAATTTACAAACTTCTTTTTCTTACGATAATGACTACACCAAATAAAAATATATGATTAGATAGAAAAATGAATGCTATATTCAATCATGTAAACATAAAATATCAGAATTTTAGTCAATAGATTGCTAGTTGTAGAAAACTAGCAAAATATAAGCGCATCATGCTGCGCTAGCCTATGATAACTAGAAGGGACAAATTTTCTCAATTTTTTAGCCTTAAGGGTGTGGGTGTGAGTTTGGCTGCGTGTAGGTGTAGGTGTGAATCAGCTTGAAAGTGAAATTCATACTCACACCCGCAGGCACTCACATTCCATCCACACTCACACCGTGATTTTCAGGTGAGTTCAATATAGGGATCAGCCATCTTCCCTTCTTATATTTTACCATTCTAACCATTTAAAAGAAGCTTGAAATACGTTTTATACATAGGTTCTCATGTATATTAACGCATGAAATCTTATACACTATCCATCAAACATGCTTTTATGATTAAAAGAAAAATATAACATCATTATTTTTATCGGATTTATGACAGTTTTTGTATGCAATTCACGAGCATTTGTCAAACGCCAAAGTAAACCTCGCAGAAAAAAAAACTACTTTGAAGACTTTTTTAGACGTTTGATATTTTCAATGATTTTCAGTGACTAAAACCGACCGTGAAAGGCTTTAAGAGTTTCAAGTAGTTACAATGAAGCTTTTCCGACTTTTCATTACGTGGACCGCGTTTTCCAATGTATCATGTTATCCGGGAAAGCATTTCAATCAACAATCGTAAGAATCGCTCTTCTTTTTTAATTTCGAAAGTGCAATTTACCAGCTTGCTAGTTAATCTTAACCACTCACAAGATCTACATGTATTCATAATCATGTGCCTTTTCTATTTTTTTTCGATCCATCTTCAAAATTCTAGGAATGTTTACAATTGTACGGTCTGTAATTGAAGACCTACACTATAAGCATGTCAAACGTACTGAATAGAAAACTATTCAATATTGGATCATTTCGTATTTCTTTATGCCCGTTTTAAAATCATAGGCAGACCTAACTAAAAAAAATAGGAAGAATGATGAAATATGAGATTGGGTTTATAAATTGATCAGAATATCAAACTAAATTCGACCTACTTTTTTTCTGCTTATCCAGAATGATCATTAATAGACAAAAGTCTTATTTCAAAGTCATTAGATAAATTATAGAATTATGTAGGAGTTTTTATTTGCTAGTTTTTCGAACAAAAGAATAGCTAGAAGAATATTTGAAACACTTTTCACTAATACCGATCGTTTTGCATCATTGGTCTCACCTGATTATTAGTAATTAGTAAAGAACGTTTTGCTTTGTTCAAGCATTCCATAATACTTTGTCGAAGATTTGGCGTAACCCAGAAGAGAACAATGAGCATAGGACATAAGACAGTATTTACCACTAATAGTAAAACGCGGATCCACTTAGGTGGTGAAAGATCAGGACGGATTAAGCTGAGTATTATAAAAACAAACGACGGTATGTCGACAAGAACCAGTTGAAAATTTAGTAATACTACACGTTTCACGATTTTTAAGTCGCGGCGCATCTGTTGGTTCTGATCGGCATGATCTCTCGATGAAGCTTGGCGTACGTAAGTTACTAAACGACAATAGAGAACAACAAGAGCCATGTCCGTTACAAAGAATGTTAGCGCAGTCATGAGAAACAGAACGCCAAGTTCTGATAATCAGACAAAACATAGGTTATCTGAACGAATTTTTGGCATGTGGTCTGTTAGATAAACAGACAAACCGAAAATGAAATCAAACATTCATTGTAGGAGAACAGTAGACATCTTACGAGTACGAGTATCAAGGAATGTCGTTCTCTTGATTTTAACATATTTTTCTATTGCTTGTAGAATGAACGAATGGTGAATGGCAGCCGTTGTTGAATGATAAATGTAGATACGTAAAGAACAAAGAAAGTCCACATTTGATACTAGTTGTTCGTCCCAGAACATCATGTAGATAGCTACTGCCGTATTATCACACGAATAAAGAAAAACAGCCAGAGCAGTACTGCAAGCTAGTAGAGTAGGAAAATTGAAGCATCGATGTCAGTAGACTATAGCTATTGTAAGAAAAATAAATGCCAGCAGACAATTCAAGCAATCGACGAATATGTATAGTCGATTAATAACAAAGAAAAAAATCCATCTTGCTACTAATTCAAACTTTGTTTATTTATTATAGTCAAATCAATGAAATACTTTTTTATTGGTAGTAAATATGAAATAGTTCAAATCTAATCATTACCGAGTAAACAGTAGCTGTAGAACTCATGACGCTATTTGTAAGATAAGTTTCTTGAACGCCGATCTAAGAAGAAAAGCTCATGGCATTGTTAACATATTTATGTATCTTATATCCATATCTCAAGTGTGTAGCTGTTGTTAAGAGTAGACAAAAGTTAAATGTAGCGCTAAAGAAATCTGTTTATTAGGAAATGGTTCGCCATTTTCAAGACGCCAACAAAAGACAGTCCCCGTTACATATGAGCATGAAAATAAAAGTAGTGTTCTAATGGCAGCAATAGTTTTACATGAACAACATTTATTCTTTCCAAACACTTATCATTTAAAACATCATTCTGAAAAACAAACAGAGAAAATTATAAATTCAAAAAAAACTGACAGCGAAATTACCGCTTCGTCGAACTCTAATTATTGTCGATAACTCATGGTCAAAGGAACAAATGAAAACTATACAAAAATGACAAGATGTGATGAGAATCCAAATTCGTACAATTGTGACGATTGTATGCTACTTTGCAGAAAATACATCATTACAGAAGAAACAACACGAAGAGAAGTTAAAAAAAATACCACTATATAGAAAATTGAGCATTTTGAAAAAGCTATATATGAATCATAGTGCATGACTTTTTCATGAGATGTTTGAACTTTCCTAGGCATGAGCTTCGACAGAGAATGACTTCTGATGTTAGTGAAGTTTAGATTTCATTTAGAATTTCTTGTGATAAGCTCATTGTAGAACGATAAACACTATTATTTCGAACCATTTATTGTATCATCAGAGAAAGAAAAATATGTCGTTCATTCTACTAGTTTCGAATTACTCATAGAGGTAGAAAAACAAAAAAGTTCTTTTTTTCAAAATAAACACAATCTCCTGTGAAAAACTATTGTTCCAAATCTAACGTAAATCAAAAATAGCATAGACGAGTAGATTTCATTCTGTGAATCATGCATAGGTCTATGGTTCTTGTGTTCAAATTGTAGTCGATGGGTAGAGCCATGCTTTCAAATCAGTTTGTCGAGCCAAGAATTCGATAACATACGCAGCTGCTTGAACCATCTTTTCGTAGCCAGCAACATTGATATTCTGAATGGAATCACATGCCTTATGATAACAAGGATCTTGACTGGCATCTGCAGTACCACCTTGACCTTGTCCAAGTATTGCATCATAGCGATCGCGTTGTTCTTTCGTTTTGAAATCATCTGCACCGGAAAACAGACCACCTGCGACAACACCGGCTGTCAAAAATGGGGCATAATCACTTAGACCATTGAACGCTGTGTAATCCCAGGGCAGCTTTTGTCGAATGAACCAATCACGAAACAAGGCAGAAACTCTATTGCTACCTGGAATGGCTGAGCGTGAAGTTGTAGCATTATCAATTGTACTTCCATCATAAATACCAAACATGTAATTAGGTGATCCCAACATGTCAAAGTTGAGATTGATCAAATAGTCAGTGATACGTTCGCCAACAATACTCGAGTTTTGTGCTTGTGCTACATGATACACTGAACCAAGAAGACCGAGCTCTTCAGCACCCCACCAACAGAATCGAATACGATACTTGTATTTAGCATAATTTGTCGTTTGAAAGAGACGTGCTAGTGTAACCGCTAGGGCTAGACTGGCTGCACTACCGCTACCTATGAACAGACAAAGGAAGAAGTTGAATTTAGGTGAAATACGACGCTTAATGAGTATTGAACTATACTGCACGGAAACTGGACTTCTTCTATGCTAGATAGATTGTGAGAGAAAAGTCGACTATCCATTATAGATTTTTGAACCTACTAGAGATTTCGCTGATTTAGAGCTGATTGAAAACGTTCTACTGGTCTTGTCTTGAATCGTAATGAAAATAACTAGCATTTTCATGTCGATGCAAAACATCATCTCCATTGTATTTTACATTTTAATTCTATACGAATTGCGCTGAAAGTTTTTCCTATTTCATTCGAATGTGCACAAGTTTGAGAAAAATCGATAAAACATGGTTTTTATTGTGTCTACATGAAAATTCCAGATGGTTCAACATATATCTTATAATTAGAATCTTATTAGTTGTTATTTTTGATTAATCAAATAAAATTATGTTCAAGAATAGAAAAGGAAACAAACACAAAGGCTAGATAATTTTTATTTTATTTTCTGAAAGATAGTATGATCTCTAACTGATTTTTTGCTACAATTCTGAGCTTCTACCAAAACGTTCGTCTCATCTCTTTTGCTTTCCTTTCTAATCTTTTTCTTACTAGTATCATTAAACGTCTGAAAGACAATCAATGTGTTTTTCAAAGTGAATTCTAATCAATTTCAAAAAATGAACAACAAGACTCTCGCTCAAGTGGAGTTAACATCGTAAAAGTTGATCATGACGGCTACAGTTTTGAAGGTAGCAATATGATCATTGAAAATACCCGTTTCATCAACAATTCTTGATTACCCAGTATTTTCTTTCGATCCATGTTCTACTTGAATATTTTCGAAACTGAATGAAATCAAATTATTGATCTGAAAGTACTCTTTGTCATCTTCATTAGCTAATATTTTCGAAACACGATCCAGGAGACTCATCGTGCTTGTTAGGAGTGATGTCCTCTATAGATATATTTGAAAAGAAATCAGAACGTAAGTATTCACTTCTTCCACACTAATTTATCATTCTAGACAATTTAATACATACGTATGTTAGCTTACCATTATCATTAATTCCTGGCCCAGCTGTCACGCTGTCACTATGACTTCCGATTACAATCGTCTGAGTTACATCTCCGGTTGGTGTATCAGCACAAATATTACCCACTGGAAACGTACCATTGTTCATAACATTGATATTTATATGAACGCTGGCATTCATCGATGGATTTCGAGCTGCATTAGCTAGAGTTTGACCGAGATAATACGAGAGAAATAGTGCTGGTAGTTCATTCGTCTGAGCGAGACTGAAGATGATTGGTTGTGGAGAGGTAGCATCATTGTAAAATAGAAGTGCAACTGGATGGTACTTTGCGGCAACCATACTTTTTTCAGCAAAATTACAATCACCTCCTTGAACGAGTGCAATATGACCAGTTGGTGTTGGACTTGCTGCGAGCCAATCATCATCCGAACAACCATAATTAGGAATAGCAGTGAGCTGTACAAAGTCAGGAATATTGAACGATGTCGAATACGGAACATAAACGAATTCAGCAACAGACAAATTGGTTGAATAAGTGTGATTTTTGATGATGCCATCAACTGACGAGAGTAAGATTGGATTTCGAACAAGTGCAAAATTTTTGACTGGGAAAAAACTTTTTCTTACTCTGTAATTTGTATTAGTTGACAGATAATCTGTGATGTAGTCGAGTGTCTGGTTAAAGCCATACGTATTAACGGCTCGAGTTCTATTGTTAGCAGTAGCAAGGCGCTGCAGTTCACGCAGATGCACCATAACTTCATCGATACGTATTGACTCTGCATAGGTAGAATCGAGAGACAGTTTGTTATCGTTACTCGAAGGCTTGAGCCGATTATTCACGACAGCAAATGTTACTGACACAAGAGCGATATTAGCAAGTGAAATGAGTAAGCCAATCGAGACGAAACAAAGAAGGGTTCTGACTCGTTTATTTGTTCGTAATATAGTATGATCCTCATCGTTAACTAACAGTGCGTCTTTCATATTATTGTAAACTCTTTGTGATAGAGAAAGAAATGAGTTGTGTTTGTGTTGATTCAACAAAACGACATATCATTGTTGACAGTGACCAAGCACTAGATACAAAATAAGAGATAAGCACATTTTGATATTCTTCAGAAGAGTTTCACTATCCTACTTTGTATTAGCAGTATCATATCACTATCTAAATGAAACACATTTTAGACGCGTGTAAATGCAACTCAAATACAAATAGGCTACAAACACGCTGAAATGCGGTTATTGTAATTTGTTCAAAACGCGTTTCGCACTGTCCACATGTATTTGAATGAGTTTCTTGAATAAGATCCATCCAGACAAGTTCTTGTTCGCTATGAAGCGCGCTCGAATGCGAATACAAATGATTTGATTGTTGCACCTGAATGCATTTATAACGATAGATAACCTTCATGTGAAAGTGATGAAATGCTCTCCATCGAAGACATATAATCACATGTCCTTATTGTATACGTTATTTGATGCTTTTGTTTTTTAGTTACGCGTTTGAATGCAGTTTATCAGTTCTCATCACACCGCTAAATGCATTTGAGCATGTTTCTCACTTCGCTTGCGCCCATTGTCATTAGTGCTGCAGGTTATTTCATCGAGATAAATAGAAGAAACCCTTAACATCAAATTCAACTATGTACATATCGTTCAAAAACAGTATTGAAAATCTCTTGTAATTGATTTTAAAAGTATAGTCTGTCAAGCCTTATTGTATTCGACAGTTTAATGGCTTCTTGGCATAACGAATCATTTTAAAATATAGTTTACTAGTTGTCATGCTAAAAATACAAGAATAAATAGTTATATATTAGAAAATTTCTGAGTATTCATGGTGTTTTTTTCATTTTCTTACGGATGTAATTAGCCTGTGAAATTTAAATATGTAAATCTGAATCTGGTTTTGACATTTATAGCTCAGGTGTTGACTCTTAATATTGGAATAAAATAATTTTAATTCATATGAACACTATCTTTTTCATAAAATCAATTCTGTCCTTGCACAGAATATAACAAATTTTGTATTCGAGTTATTTTTTGCGAAAATATCAGTAAATGTTATCAATTGGATTGGCCAGATGTTAGATTCGACTGAGTAGACGTTTGTCAACTTTTGTTAATTGTAATACGATTAAGGCTTCCATACCTGACTTAATTGTTGTAACAATACAAGTTTCAGTGACATTAAACATGACTTTTTCAATAGCTACTTGTTATAGTTGAGTTTTGTTCTGTAAAATTGTATTTTGTTTTCGTTTGAATAATAATTTAATTGACTTCGATAAAGTTTATCCAACGATGAATTGTTAGCAGTCACTCATACTAAAACATTTACAGATGATTTAAAAATTTTCTCACTAATTAAACATTTTTTTTAAAAAGTCAGAAAAAGCCACCGCTAGCATATTATTAAAGAAACTGTATGCAATATAGGAACAAATGAATTTTATTCCGACATAAATTTCATATATATTTCTCACATTTATTATATTATGCATTATACCTCTGATTTGTCAGTGGATTATGATAAATTGTTAAAGTTCATCGTCAACACCGAATTTTAATGGTTTACTGTTTGAGATTATTTTTTTGTAGGAAACTTTTGTGGTTATTTATTTACGTACATCTGGACCTTTTAAACATAGTTTAAGCACTCTTGTCTTTGCAAACTAAAGCAAGATGCCATGTCTTCTTACAGTTTAAAGCTTTTAGGTGCCTACCTTATGTTGAAAGAAAAGGGATATGACCAACTTGTATAAGAATTTATTTTTTGTAAAACGATGTTACATTTAAATCAGGATTTGTATCTTTAACCTGGAATATTAAATATACTATTTAAATCTATTTGTCAACAATGCTCTTTGCGTAAAAATACCAGTTTTATTAAACTGGTGCTCTTTCATAATTGCTGTAGACACTTATAGAAAAATAAACTAGACTAAATCATTTTTAATATTCATTTTTTATAGAGTTCTCGTATAGGACAAATTATGAGGTATTTAAATAAAGTTATAAATTCTAATATAGTTTCTTCACATAATCTATTTACTATTGATAATTTAGACTTACAAATTATTGATGAAAATCTCCTTATTTGAACAGTTGCTTTCTTACTTATATAAGTGTGTAGCACGTGTAGTATTTGACTTGTTTTTTCTTCTCAAAAATAATTTTTTTATCTCAAAAAGAAATTTATGTTGCAAATAAAAACTGCAAAGAATAGGAAAAAAGCATTTATACAATAGAAGTATTCTGTCACATTTCTGTCACATTCACATGTTTTATGGAAGGTAGCAAAACAAAAAAAGGAATTTGGTGTCGAAAATAAAAACAGCGTGATTCGATGGTAAGAACAAAGTAAAAATTTAACGTAAGTTTTTCATAAAAGTAATAGCGACCAGATAGAAACTGGCACCGTATCGGTTAAGTTTGAAATAAATCTTTCAGTTATGTTCATTTCGAATGAATGGTATTGGAGACATGTGCGAAACATACTTAGATTCATTTCTGTCTTTTTTAAAATTTCTTATTAGCGACACATGCGTTAGGAAGAGAAAGAGAGCGCCACATTGACTGCAACAAGATATATTTAGAATAAAGCATGAATGATTGCCAACGTACAAATTATGCATAATATATAAGCGTTAACTCACTTTAATGTATTTGTGGGGCTAGCAGTGTTGAGAAAGATAGTATGTATTATATAATTATGACTCCAAAAAAGTAAATAAGAAAACACAAATGATTGTCTGTCCTGTTGATTTATTTTCTATTCGATTCCTTAGTAATTCCTGCTCTATCAAAATCATTAATTATTGAACGTCGAATATCAATAATTTTTACACGAAAAGATGTATCATTTTCAATAACGAAGCTTAACAACAAAAAAATCTAAAACAGTAAACGAACTTGAACATCTTTATGAAATTCCTTATTGGAATTATGACGTTGTAATTTACTTGTAAGTAGTCATTCTGTATTCTTTGATTTTTTCACATAAGTAAGCATAAATAGTAGATTTCAACGGATAGTGAAAGTAAACTCTGTTGCTTTCGACTTTTTCTTCCTCAGTAGAAGGAAATTAAAAATTAGGCAGTATTATGTTGACTAGATGACTTTCAGCTCCGTCTTCGTTAAATTGATTTTCTCTGACTCATTTATATCTTACATTTTAGATGAAAGCATAACCAAATTGTGTTGAACTTCATCACAGATACTATTGAAATTATGAAATAGATCTTCCGTGATTATTTAGTTGATTCTCAATTATTAGATGGACGAACCTCGTAAACCTTTCCAAAAAGTATCACAACATGGATTATCATTCAATCAAAATCTTGAAAAAGACATTAATATATTGTTACTTGGTGAAACAGGTGTTGGTAAATCAACTTTTATCAATGCATTTGCTAATCATCTTTCCTATAATACGCTCGATGCAGCACTTCAAGGTAAAATGCAAATACTCGTACCTTCTTCTTTCTCAGTGTCTGATAGTGAAACATATTCATCAACAACAATAACCGTAGGATCTCCCGATGATAATGAACTTTGTGAGGATAATGGTAAATCACAAACTCAAGGTTGTAAAAGTTATGTATTTTCTATTGGTAACCGTTACCTACGTTTGATTGATACACCCGGTATTGGTGATTGTCGTGGTGTAGAACAAGATAATAAGAATTTTGATCATATTCTGGCTTTTGTAAGCCGTTATAAATATTTAAATGCTATTTGTATTATGCTTAAACCAAATGAACATCGATTAAATATTTTTTTTAAATATGGTATTAAAGAATTGTTGAGACGTTTACATATAAATGCTAAAGATAATGTGATGTTTATTTTCACCAATGCTCGAACAAATTTTTATTTGCCAGGTGGAACATCTAGACAATTAAGGCTTTTACTTAATGATCTAGAAGCAAATTCACACATACAAGTTCCATTTACTAAAGAAAATACGTTTTTATATGACAATGAATCGTTTCGTTTTTTGGCAGTTAATAAAGCTGGACATGATTTTTTTGCAGATCATAGACCAAGTATTATCGACAGTTGGAATAGATCAATGATGGAATTAAGACGTATGCTTGCTCGTATTGTTAAATGTAGTTTACATCCTGTACGTGAAATGCAATCATTAAATGAAGCTCACCAACTTATATGTAAATTAACTCGTCCTATTGGTGAAATAGCTACACTCCTACAAGAAAATATTCAATTAGCTGAACAACATAAAAGCAACATATTAACGAATGCAAATGATATAACACCTAATCGAATACCTCAAAAAACTGCAGAAGTTGTTTCACTTGAATATCCACGTACGATCTGTACAAGCCAAAAATGTTCGCAAGTGATTAAAGTCAATGATGAAATGAAAGTTGATTATACTGTTCAATGTCATAGACATTGTTATTTACAAGGAGTCGAACAAGAAGTTATTAAAAATCCAATATTGAAACGTTGCCGTGCAATGGATAAAATAACAGGTAAAACAATTCTATTTTAAGATCAAGTCTTATCATCGTTGTTTAATAGAATTAAAATTAAAGAAAGAAATGACAATCATTTATCTATTCGATTAGAGTAATTGTAACATAATATGTAAATATGAGTGTTCAAAGTTTTTACAAGTGTTCATTCGATTGATATTAAAATAGAGATTTAGTGACAAGAATCTTCATTAATTTCATTTGTTCTCTATTTTAAACTTTGACTACATAGAGACTTCTAATAAATCATAGAACGAGATTAAGATAATCAGTAAATCTTCGTCTGTTATACTTTATTTACAAATCGTTTTTGATTTTAGGTATTTGCAAACGATGCCACTGTCAATGGGATACTCATATGCATGTAACTTATGAATTCAAAAAACAGTTGACTTATTTAGAAGTAGATGATAAACAATCGTCTATTTCATCGAAAAGAATACTTGAACGTATTGATGAACGAATATCTCACTTGCAACAAGAAGAAGAAATAATTCGTCATATCTGTGCTAAACTTACATTATTTCTACGAGTAAATTCAATCAATCCAACCAATGAAGACATTATTGAATATATAAATCATTTTATTCAAGAAGAAAAAGAAAAACAAAATGCAGGAGATAATAACGAACAAATTATTATTGGTCTACAAAATTTGATTAAAGACTATCAAGACGAAATTAATTTATTAAAATTTAATCTGGATAACCAAGCAAATACAAATGATGCTCCTACTATTGAAGAAATATTCTTTTTTAAATGCCAACTTTTTGAATTACCTATTACCGGAAAGTATATAAAAGCACAAGTTGAAAGTTTAAATTTAAATCAAATGAATATGATCGAACAACGAGAACAATTTGTTGATTTACCATTAGATGCAAAATTTTCAGAAACTATGAAAGCATTAGAAGAAGTGTTGGCTTAAAAAAATCCTTTTTTTCATTTGTTTTGATAATAATAAATATTTTCGAGTTTTATTTTTTACTTTTCCTAAAAGATCTATTCTTCTCTATTACTACGATGTCAATAAATATGACAATCATTTGATTGATTAACAATAAACATATTGATATTAATAGACGATCGATTGGTAGATCATAGAGAACTATCATATTGAAACTGAACGAATTATCGATGACAACTACTACACAAATTGCAGTAAAGTTAGCAAAAATAGAAACAACAATCCAAAAGAATTATACGACTAGTAAATAAATTAATAAAAATTTTGATGAAGAATAATCATGGTATTCATCTAATTCATCATTTGTCACCATAATTTATCGTTATGATGATTTCAGGTATGTCTCTAAAAAAAGTAGTGTAATTAAGGAAAATTTTTTTTTTCATTCAGATTATTGACAAACATTTCACATCCATCAGTTTGTGAATTGAGAACCACTATGTTAACATGGTGAACGTTTGAATACATTGAAATTATTTTATAGACTATTCTTATTTTATTTCGTTATTGATAATGTTCTTTTTTACATTGTTATTTCCCTTTTTTTTGTCTAATAATGGAAGGTATATTTATAAATTCTCTTTTAGTTACTGTTGAGAACATATGTCACATTTTATTCAAAAGATTATTAATTGAGACGTTATTGAATTGTATAGCATACAAAGCAGAAGCCTACCCACAATAGAGAACCCCCATTAATTAATTGCTTTCTAGAAAAATTAGAATTTTAATTAGTATATTTAAATTAACATATGGATAGTTTTTAACATTTGAGTTGAAAATCTCAAAATTGTTTTAGTTTTTTCAAAAACCGTTCAAATAAAATATTGTGAAAAGTAACCGAACACAATAGAAGAATCATCTGCAAAGTTTGTACGCTTGAATATAGTAAAAGGCTTGGAATCTTCTATTTCAGGGAAGGATTCATTAGAATTCAAAATTAATGTAGTATGTTCAGACAATTGAGTATCATTGAATGATGTCCAATATCAAGAAAAATATAGATATGAAAAATAGAAACATAGATATTGAATAATTAATCGACAATATCCATTTTTTTGTAATGATTTCTCTATGAATAATCTATTTTTTTTTGAAAGGAATTACACGAGAGTATTTATAATATTTGTTGTTCCAAATATTAGAATTAACTTGATTACTTCATGCTATTTCGCTAAATGTTTATTTTCTTCTTGAAGGTTGAAAATTTAATGATCAGAAGCAAAATGCAAAAACCGCATCGAGAAATATGGATTTAAGATTACCAATTATAATACAGAAAGGAACGCGTTGACTTTTGAGCAACGACTTTCCAAAAAATAAATGACTGGTAAATCCGTCTGGATTCGATATATTACTTTTATTTTTAAAAAATACTTTACTGTTATTGAGAAAACTCATGTTTGCCTTGACACTAAGAAAATATATAAAGAAAAGGATTATCCTTGATGTAGAAGAAACAATATTCGCAAACAATACCCAAAAATATGCCAGAAATTCGACATTTCATTAGCAAATGTTTGTCCATCAAAATTTGTTTTCTCTCAATTTTACACTCTAAGTAAAATTTTAGATGAATATATTTTACTATGAAATAAAGGATATGTTAGGTCTTTTTGAGTGCTCATTCCAAGTATGCTTTTTATTTTCAATAAAAATCAAATTTGCAACCATCAAAAACTTGAATCATGTTATTAATTTTTGGATTTGTTATGATCCTTAAAGGAGGAAAGAGGTTTCTCAGATCAGTAAAGTTGATATATTTGTCAAAAAATAATACATCGAATCCAAAATGACACATTAATACATTTTTTTTAACCATAATGTATTCAAACAATATTAAATCTATCTTTCTGGATGCAATTTTGCATACTACGTAAGTCTGAAAATAAGAAAAAAACTACACAGTTCTTCACAGTACTATTAATTGATTTTTCTTTGTAAAATATTTTTTAAAGAAAAGGCTCTACATTGTTTCATAGATACATTCTTATAGAGCTCAATAAGCTCTATCTTAGCAAATAAAAAACATTGAAGAAAAGATTCTGCTTGATTTTTAAATGATACTTGCACTTTGAAAAAAACAAAAAAGAAATACAAAATAGACTTTGTCAATCGGCAAAAAATTTCACTTTCGTTTTTTTTAAAAATATGTTACTAATTGGGAATCAGTATCATTCTGAATATTTTCTTGAATAATTTGTCGACTATTATTGTTCTTATCCGGTAATTTATCGGGACTTTGTACGTTATCAATTGTACCATCGATTTCTTCATCATGAAGTAATACTGGATTACACGTCAGAGAACCTTTTGGAATAAGTGTAGAGATTAATACGATTGTTGAAATAATTGTCATTTGTATAGCAACAGTATTAACAAATGCTGGTCGTACAGATCCAGTTGAAGTATAAATACTATCTATATAAAGTCCAAGCAGTGGATTTAAAATTACATAAATAATAATATAAGATGAATAAAGAAATGATGCAACAGCTCCTAAAGCTGAAATATTTTTATGTTTTGATTCTAAACCACTTAAAGATGATTGAATAAATGAATTAAGTCCAATATCATCAGCAGATGATCCAAATCCAATAGGAATAAATGTTGCAGCAATAATCCATGCATATTTAACATTATGAACAGATGGATAATAATACGGAATATACCAAACAAGAAGTAATATAAGAGCATCTAATCTTGACCATGGAAGAGGAGATTTAATAAAATTTCCAAAGATAAATATAAATATAGCACCAAGTAATTCACCTAAATTCGAAGCACCAACAATAACTTGTGACCATTCAGGTTGGTCAAGATAATGTTGAGCTATTTGTGGTGCAATACCATTTTCAAGATATCGATGTGCATAAAGTGTTAATGCATAACAACTCCATAACCAAACAAATTTTCGATGTGTAAAAATTATTTTTGCTCCAATAAAAAATGATTGAATAAAAATAATAAATCCGTTAAGAATTGATTTTAAATAATTTGTTTCAAAATTTTTATTAATTCGACTGTTTTCATCATTTAGATTATTAGTTTTTGCTAATCCAAGAGAACTAATAAAAAACCAAATAATAGCAGCTACTGTAAAAAGTATTGGTGTAATTATAAATGAATAATTATTTCCAAGATGAGGAATTAAAACAAGGCCAGTTGTAAATGCTCCACTAACACCTGCTATTTCATAAAAAACATGAACAAGGGCATCCATTTTTTGTAATTTTTCACGATCATCACCAACAATATCTCTTGGTATAACTCGTCGAATTAATTCAACCATACCAAAAGCCACACCCGTAATACAATAGATTGGTATTATTCCATTTGTATTATATTTACCATAATATCTATAATCATGTTTATTTATCGATACAAAATCTTTTGGTTTTATATGACCACCAGTTGCAGCATCAACAATCATAAGTATGGCACTAAAAATAGCAAAAATAAAAATTGATATTGAAAGAACAGTACGTGTTGGCCAACGTTTTGTAAGTGGTGCAATAAGAATAGAACCAATACATTGAAATGCTTGATTAAGACCAGAAAGTAATCCAACTCTTTCAAATGTATGTATAGTTGAATTACTATGAAATGCTTCTTGTTCATAACGAGTTGTGGCAAGAGTAACAATCGATCCATTATATGCTTCTAAACCAAATTTATAAAGCATGATACCAACAATATAGATAACAATATTTCGTTTTTCTTCGGATGAAAAAAGTTTCCATATACGAGATATTTCAGATTTTCCAGTGAACATTTTTTTATACTAAAAATAGATAAGTTCTTGGATGAGAAAAATCTGCTGAAGTATAAAAGAGTATCTGTTGTTTTTATTAACATTCTGACTGTATTTATTCCTTAGATTTGAGCCTATTTTTTTAGTAGAAAAACTCTGATACTTACAATTACTTTTTTTTACGTCTCCGTTATTTCGAAACATAAATGAAATGCATAATTTTGAAAAAAGAAATCGAAAAACATTAAATGATGATTTATTTAATGTTTTTATTCTTTTTTCTCTTTACTGAAGTGTATTTATACTTTTTTGATTATCTCTACTGTATTTATCGCTCTCACTTAAGTTAAGAAGATTGATAAGCACATGAATCAAATCCGAATATCAAAGAAAAGTAACACGGGTTCTGTAATGAAATGCACATGATAAAATAAAATAAATGGATTTCTTACAATTCAATAAACGCTAACATCTCAATGAATATGAGTAAATGACATATGATGAATAAGGAAATGAAAAAGTGTTTCTAAAAATCTACCATGATGTGTATGTTTTCCTTATCATACTGGCAGCTAAACTCACGCCGTGATGTAGCAAATAAGTCAGATAGTTACCAACTCGGATGGTAATCAGTCGATTTGATAATAAACTAATTGATTATAAATTTATTCGGCGATGCTGGAATTGCAGAAAAACTATTCCGTGAAAATGGACTAATGCGCAGATACTTTACTATTGTCGTTCTCTTCTCATGAGTCATGCCAGGCTTACTCATCAAGACTGAAGTCCATGACAGGATTAATATGAAATACAATTGAATTTAAGCTAACTATGCCTTTCCTTTCGTTCACATCAACCGTACCATAATATGACTATCATTTTTTTATCATTAGCATGCATTAACAGTAGGTAATAACTCATAAAGAAAAAATTCTATTGGTGAATTCCTTCTTTTACAAAGTCAATAGCTCTATCATGTTTGATATTTTAATCTTGCTCGAAGGATTGCTCTAACCACTTTCTATAAAGAAAGACTTGTAGTAATCAAAGATGCATGTTTTCAAATATAATGTCACCAAAAAATGATTGAATATTTGCTGTACTAATACTCTCAAATACAATTTAGAAAACGAATAATCGATTGATCTTTCATATAATTAAATTTCTCTTGCTTTTTTCAACCTTAACGAGCAAATAGTTATAAGAG